TCCTGTTTACACTGTGAGGGGAAAGCTCACTACTCAAGCCTCAGTAATGGCAGATGAGCATCCCCCCTACCAAGCTCGAGTATTCCAGGTCGACTTCAGACTGCTCTACTGGAAGCAAGAATTTCAAGCCAATGGATCTTAGCTTGCTGGGCCCTGTGGGGGTGGATCTGCTGAGCTAGGCCGTTTGGGTTCCTGACTTCAGCCCCATTTCCAGGGGAGTGAACAGTTCTGTCTCTGTGGGACTCCAGGTGCCACTGGGGTATGAAATAAAACTCCTGCAGCTATCTTGGTGTCTGCCCAAATGGCCACCCAGTTTTGTGTTTGAAACGCTGGTGGTGTAGGCACTGGAGGGAATCTCTTGGTCTACGGGTTGCAAAGACCATGGGAAAAACATAGTATCTGGGCCGGAGTACACAGTTCCTCATGGCACAGTCCCTCACAGATTCTCTTGGCTAAGGAAGGGAGTTCCCCAGCTCGTTGTGCTTCCTGCGTGAGGCAACACCCCACCCTGCTTTGGCTTACCCTCTGTGGGCTGCATCCACTGTCTAACCAGTCCCAGTGAGATGAGCTGGGTGTCTCAGTTGGAAATGTCTAAATCACTTGCCTTCTGCATTGATCTCACTGGGAGCTACAGACTGGAGCTGTTCCTATTCGCCCATCTTGCCTGGAAGCCTATTTGTTGATTTATTGAGACAAGGTTTTGCTTTGACACTCAGCCTGGAGTGAAGTGACATAATCATAGCTGATTGCAGCCTCAATCTCTTGGACTCAGGTAATCTTCCCACCTCAGCCTCTCAAGTGACTGGGACTACCTGCATGTGCTGTCATGCCTAATTGTTTTTCAAATGTTTTTATTTTTTGTAGAGATAGGGTCTCACTATGTTGCCCAGCTGGTCTTGAACTCCTGGGCTCAAGTGGTCATCCTGCCTCAGCTTCCCAAAGTGTTGGGATTACAGGCCTGAGCCACTGTGCTTGGCCAGTTTTCCTATTTTATTACAAATGTTAAACTTTTGGCTATTTAAATACTAGCTATGAAAACTAATGTTTGTTTTTATTTTATCTTAGTTTTTTTCCCTGCATATCTATCACAGCCTCCTTAGTTTTATGTATTGTGTTATATAAATTATGTTTTTTAGTATAACTTCCTCGACTTGCAATATTTTCATTCTATTTTAAATTCTGCTAATTCTAATCTTTGTTTCTTGAATATTACTATAACTTACAAGAAACAGATTTCGATTTCCAGAGTAAAACAGTAGATACTGATTCCTCTCTTTTCGAGGTAATAATATTAACACAGTTTAACTGCTTCTTGTAGTTTTGTTGGTACATTTTGAAATTTGATATGTTGTTGCTAAGTTTTACTGTCTACATTATTTTCTTTTAAGAAATATTTATAGTACTTAGATTATGTTTGATAATTATATTAACTGTATTTTCTTATACTTAACTCTATGTTTGGATGTTTTTAATGTTTTCCAGTCCTTTTATGTTGGATTGTCCTTTTATTTTGACTTCCTTGCTTTAAGGAATCTCTCATTAATGGTGGTAATTTTTGAGTAAATATTCAGTGGATAGTTGGTAAACATTAATGAGGACTTTTCTATCTGTTAATTTTTCTTGCGGTACCATGACACACAAACTATACATTAGCTGGGCATTTAATTCTTGGCAATGATCTTTTTACACTGGCATTCTATAGATGTATGGAAATTTTATGTTGTGAAAATAAAGTCTGAGAATGGACCAAAATTATATTTTTCCCCATTCTTATGCCATCCCTTTTTAAACATAAATTATTTTGAAATAATTTCAGACCTGTTGCAAATAGTATGAATTCCTGTGTACCCTTTATCCAACTTTTCCAAAGATCACATCTTATATATCTTTAATACGTTATTAAAGTGACATTGATATAATCCACATAGATTATTTGTTAATGGGCTTCATTTCTTTGTGGTGATGACTTTCATTCTACCTTTATTAACTATCAACTAAATGAATACCTATAGCTCATTATCAAATAAATGTATTGTTTTGTAAATGTACTTGTTCCCTCTTCTTTTTTTTTTTTTTTTTTGAGATGGAGTTTCACTCTTGTTACCCAGGCTGGAGTGCAATGGTGCGATCTCGGCTCACTGCAACTTCCGCCTCCTGGGTTCAGGCAATTCTCCTGCCTCAGCCTCCTGCCCTCTTCTTTTTATACTCTAAAATTAACTTTTTATGCATACATTTATCTCCTCAACTAGAATCAGTTCTCTGAGTGCAAGAAACTTACTTGTGAATATCTTTCACAGTAAATAACATCTTTGTTCAATGTCAGGATGACCTGTAGTTCTCTATTTCACGAAGAAACTGCAATTTTGATGACTATCCCATTAAGTTGCTAACAATGGTAACTACCATGTGAAGCTGATGTCATGCTGGCTGTTTCTGGCTATGGTCAAATGTCACTGAGCAGGAAAGTCTTTGATACAAAATGGAAATTGTTAGGAAGGGTATTTGATCAGACTCTGTAGTGCAGTGTACGGAGTTGCTTGGCTTTCTGAATTACTACCACCATTATTTGATGCCTCTAAGAACCCATCCTCTATCCCAGGGAGCCCTCTCCAGTGCGTTTTCAGACTAATTCCCTTAGATGATGGATGGGTGACTGCCACTAAATTTAAATGGTTATAATGTAGTTCTTTACTATTGTCAATATGAAACAGAAACTCCTAGAAGGTCAATAAATAAGGTAAGCCTAGTCTGACGTTGCCGACTGATCCATGGGCTTGTTTCCCAGAGTGAATGGGAATTTAGGGAGGAATGTGAATGAAGGTATAGTCAAAGATAGTCTCTTCTCCATGCATAGGAGGGGCACATTATAAAAGAGAGGTTCATTACAAAATGTTAATGGTAAAATGGTCAAAATTGTAAATGGTAAAATAATAAAATTACAACATGGTAAAATTGAGTGTGGCAAGCACATGGAGCTAAAAGTCAGGAAATTTAGGCTGTTACCCAGCTTTACCATTGATTCCTATGATTACAGGAAAATCACATAGCCTCTGCAGGTGAGTTATGCAAAATATAAAATAGGGTGGGTGGCAATATGGATGTTAAAATTAACACAGTGTTTTGTAAAATGGGTCTGAATATTACTTACATCAGAATTTACATAGTGTGTCAAAATGCTGATTCCTGGGCCTCACCCCTTACCTACTCAGTCAGAATCTACAGACTTAGGAGCTGGGACACTTCATTTTAAACAATGACCTCAGGTGATGTCTATGTATACTGAAGTGTAGGAATAACTAGATTTGTTCACACATAAAACTTCTAGATTTAGAATGCTGTAATTCTAACAAACATTTACTAAATGCTACAGATATTACTTAGAAGGCACGATTTGATCTTTGTGTTAGTGGTAATCAGTTTGACCCACACGTTTTTTCTCTTCAAATACTGTCTATGGGATTTTAGGAGAAATGGAAATACTGGGAGTCCACTCAAACAGGTCCAACAGGATGGCGTTTTTATGACTTATCCATGGTCTGGGGTCTTTTCCTAATTATGGTTCCACCAGAAATTTGATACAATCTTAGTTTCGACTTAGAATTTAAATTCTGGAAAAATCATATAAAACAGTGTACTCCACAAAAAAAGATGCTTTGCTAGAAACTGAATTTCTCATGTGCCCCAAATAAATTTCTCTCCCTTGAACAATCTGGATGACCGATGACCACTCCTGTCCTTCTGAAACCTGTGTCTCCAAGCAGGTTTGGCCAGAGAACAAGTCTGTCTGTTTCCAGCAGTTATTGATTTTATTAGTTAAACTATCAGGGTCTTTCTGTAGTACCAGGAGTCTCCTATACTACTCACAGGATGTGATTCTAAAAATAAACTCTTACAGGGGTTGGGGCCCTATAGATGCCAGTGTGGGAGATACCCACGGATATTTATTTTTAAAAATAATTTCATTTTGAAATGATTTAATACAAACATTTGGAAAAATAATATGACTCCCACATATTCTTTGTCCCACTTTCCCAAATGATAATGTATATCCATAGGATACTGTCAAAATCCAGAAAGTGACATTGGTACAATATTATCAACCTAAATACAGTTGCCATTTAATCTGTCATTTCCACAAAGGATATTAATAAAGAATTAACAGAGGCATCTTACAAGCTATGATACACTTTGCAGTCACTTTCTATTACAGTTACAAGCAACAGGATAGGCAGTACCATATATTAGATAGAGGAGCGGTTTTGGAGCCAAAGATGTAAGAATTCAATGCCAGACTCCACTGAGTACTGGCTGGGTCATCTTGGACAAATTACTTAGTTTATCTGAACTTTAGTTTCTTTATCTGAAACATGGGGACAATAAGGCTTGTTGTTGCATTGGGTTGATGTGAGATTTAGGTGAGAATGATCAAATGATGAGGATTAATCAAGGTTAACTTGAAAAACAAGGTTTCTGATACTAATATGACTTCAATAAATCGCAGTTTTTACTGAAAACATATAGAAAATATTATTCAGTGTTTTGTGGCTCAATCGATCATATACATCTGGTCTTTGTATGTAAAGTATGGAAAACCAGTGACTAGAAGGGCTTTACGTTTTTTTGTCCTGACGTGCACAAATTTCTAGTTACGTTACTAAAACTCCAAGAAATATGGAATCACAGAATGTTAGAACTGGAAATTGAAGATGATCAAACTTAGGAAATGAGCAAATTTACACAGCCAGCTAGTGGCAACCCGGGACCTGACCTCGGGTCTTCTGCATCTGCTATTGTACTATCACATACAGGGATTTGTATATGGGAAAGACTTTGCTTCAACCCTCTTAGATTAAAAAGTACGTGGGAGCTGCAGACTGGAAAATTCAAGTTGAGGAAGTGCCGAGCAGATGAGAAGGTTGGGTGGCAGAATGAAATAAAATCTCTTCCTTGATACTGTATCTCAGCACCTACTGAACATTAAACTTTTCTTCTATCTGCAGGGGTTGCAAATTTTTATCCTGTACACTGTTAGAACAAAAATCTTCCAGAGTGAAGCTTCCAAAGTGTTGACGTCATTATCGTCTGCCACGAGAATGAAGTCATTGCCTTCAATGACCAGGCCAAGGCTGCGTATAAAGATGTATAATTTTCTCAGGTCGTTACCAACCGTACGTGAACACTTTAGGCTACTGGAACCTTCTGTAAGTACTGAGGATGTCACACTCTCTGAAAGTGACCAAGCAAAGGAAAGCGCCTAGGCAGTGAAACTTACCTGTTGTGGTCTTTTTAATCAATTCGTTTGAATTTTATCTGTTTCTCTCCTTTATTTCCCAGTCCTCCCAGAAAATCTTCCACAGTATATTTTGCTCAGGATTAAGAATTCGATAAAACCTGTTGTTTGTTATTATTAGGGATAATGGACTTGGTAGTTTTTGTATTTTTCAATAGAATCGCACTTGAATGAGGTGAAGAATTTCGCACAGCATTCAAGATTACCATTGTTTCTTATATCATTAAATCTTTGTGACATGCTTTAACAAAAATGTAGACCTTATTAGAGATTCTTTTACAAGTTACTATAAAGGAAATGAAGAGAAAAATTTACCTTGCAGAACAAAATGACTCCTGGTGAACAGTGTGTGGGGATTTGCTTGCATGTATTAAACTTTTGACCTTTCAATATTTTAAAGTTGTGTGTGCTTGTACTTTTATTTCTAAAGAAGAATTTGGCACCAATTAAACCTTTGAAAAGGGACTTTTTTTCTGTTTTTAAAAAAAGTATGTTTTGTGATCAGGAGAATTGGCTCTGTAAGAAATGAGCAGCGAGACAGGTTAATTTGTTACTAAATGGGTATTTCCCTCCAGTTCTTAATATACCTGTCCTTTTATCGATGAAGTGACACTTAGACCCCCAAAATGAGAAGTTAGTCACAATCATCTCGTATGGCTTTTAAAAGATTTAACTGCTTGTGGAAGGTCAAACACTTGAATTACGAATGGCTTACTCATAAAAAATGGCCTCTGTTTAGGTGGGGAGCATTCCCACTGGACTTATGATATAGAGTCTTTAAATTGCTGTTTTCTGTTTTGCCTTAAATCAGACAGCTGCTGTCAGTGTACTGAATTAAGAGATTAACAAATGTCATGTCAGCTTGGCACTATCTAAAGAATGTATGTTTTTTAGAGAGATAGTTGCAAATACCTGTTGGGTTCCTGGGCAAGCCAACACGAGCCTGTATTTACAGGAGAACAGAAAAAAGTAAAGGGAAGAAAACAAAGAATAAAAGCAGATCGCAAAGTATTCTTAGTGGTGTCGTAGGGCTGCACCTAAATAGTAGCTGGGCACAGGGAAAATGGTAAGATGTGGTTGACTCAAAATTTGTATTCAGATGAAAATAAACCTTAAGTAAGGGCCACTTAAAATGTAAAAAAAAGAAAGAAAGAAAAATCACCAAAGAGCCATATTTAGTCTGAGGGTAGGTATATGTGTTTCCTCTGTAATTACAGTTGTTTTCTTTGCTCTTTTTTCAGCATTTGTGGGGCATAGCAACTAAAATTCCATAAAACGTTGCTGAAATATCTGCACCGTAAATGTGCAAACTCCACATGCAATTGTGGAGGCTAATTCAGGTGGACATGGATATTCTTGTATCTACCCTGAAATGAATCCTACCACTAGGAAATAATTCCTTTGATTTAAATCATTGTCTCATACACTGGTCAGCAATTTTCAGTTTAATGATAGAAATCTGACTCAAAGTTAAAGGTGAAAGGTAATTTAATGTATTGATTAATGTAAAGTCCAAGGACTGAGTTGGGAAGGTTACTATATATTTTAGTTTGCCTGGGCAAGTCCCAATTTGTGCCTGTTTTTCTGAGTTAAGCATTACCAGCAGCCCCTTTTACTTTCAAGTGCCTTGGTTTGAGTCAAGAAATACATGATAATGCTAACTTCAGGTCTAGTTAGAACAAGTGATATGGGAGGGGTCAGGGAAGTGCTGGGTAGAGAAGGGCAGGGTCTCTGGCGAGGGCTTCACCCTCAGGCCTGTTCCCACAGATCTAAGTGAGAACAGGCACTCCTGTTTTTATGCCCAAATATTGTATTTTCCAAGGCCACTCTGGCCCACCACGCCCCGCATCCTGTGCCCATATAAACCCGAGACCTTATCGGACACACACATAAGCAGCTAAACATCGAGAGGAGCAGAGGAACAGAGTGGTGGAGAGTGGTGGGGCGGCATGGAAGAGAAAAAGTGAAGTGTCTGAACGTTAAGCAAGGATAGCCAGACTCCAGGGGAAGACTGCCTTCCCACTCCATTCCCCTCTTCCAGCTCCCCATCCACCTCACTGACAGCCACCTCCACCACTCAGTAAAACCTTGCACTCATCCTTCAAGCCCACGTGTGATCCAATTTTGCTGATACACTGGGCAAGAACTCAGGATACAGAAAGCCGTCACACTGGCTCTCTGCCCTGGCGATAAGGCAGAGGGGCTTACTGATCTGATTAACACAAGTTGTCTGCAGAGGGCAAAGCTGAAAGAACACACTGTAACACACAACCACTTGAGCTTTGGGAGTGGCAGACACCCACCCATAGATGGTGCTGGGGGGTTGGGGCCCTAAAGCCTTCCCCGGGACCACTGCACCTGCCTGTGTGCTTGTTCCTTCTAGGGGGCAGGAAGCCCAGGGAGCCACACCCCTGTCAACAAGCGCTGTGACAGGGATAAGGGAACTCTCTCCTTTCACAGGGAGTGCTAAGAATATGTCAGAATTCTTTTTCTCTGTTTCCTGGCTCTGTGTGCTTCTGTATTTGATGTCATTCTGAAATTGGGTTTAGGTGGCTGGAAATTGGACTATTGGTATCCCTAATCTTAGAGCCTAACAGGAAGAGACCTTTTTCCTCTTAGTATCCACAAGTAAAACTCATGGAATTACTCTAATTCAAGTTATCATTGCAGCAGGAAAACAGAAAGCACATTAAGTATGTAAAATAAAACTTTAAAGCAGATAATTGGTTTCGTGGTGTTTAACAAACTCACAGACAAATGAGAGAACGCAGCAGGAAACGTAGAGATTAGCAAAATGAGAAAGCAGATACCTCTCTTAGGTCAGAGAGATAAAGTAAGAAGAAATTCCATAGACAGGCCCTGCGGCTATGTCCGCTGATGGATGCATGGATAAAAAAATTATCACACACACACACACACACACACACACACACACACACACAGGATGGAGGACTATTCAGCTTTAAACAAGAAGGAGGTACTGCTATTTGCAGTAACATGGATTAACCTGACAGGGTATTATGCTAAGAGAAATAATTCAGACAAAGAAATATACTACATGATCCCACTTACATGTAGAACCTAAAAAGAAGTCAAACACATAGTAACAGAGAGTAGAACGGACTGGGAGTGGGAAGTCGGGGGACAGAGAGATGTTGGTCAAATGGTACGAACATTCAGTTACAGGATAAATACATTCTGGAGGTAAAATGTACAGCATGATGACCATAGTTAATAACAGTGTACGATACACTTGAAATTTGCTGAGTAGAAAAAGCAATATTCACAAAGCATATCTTTTGCAAAACCAAAATTCATAATTCCCTAACGTTTCAGTATTGTCTATTTTCCATAATCCATGCTCTTTGTCTGAACACGTAAGAATTTTACATAACTAATGATAGTACACGATTTGATTTTCACTTATTACCTAATTAAGAAGTCTTCTTAATGATTGTATAATATAATTTGCTAATTTGTTTCCCTATTATTGTATATTTAGATCATTTTAATATTTAACATTGTAGTGATACTGTGATGAATAAATTAGTACACATATTTTTTCCTTTCTTTTTCATTATTCCTTAAGATAAATTCTCTTGACTCAGATAAATGTGCCAAATTATCTTGACCAGATAAATTTAGGTTCCTAATGCATACTGTTACATTGTTTAGAAAACATTGCAAGAATGTATAATGTTATCAACATTTGGAGGACCATAAACTTTTTTTAATATAGTTGTTTATTTTGGCATTTTTGTTATTTGTATTTTTTTGCCCATTTTCAATTGAGCTATTGTAATTTTTTCTCACAAATGTATATTTCTTATTTATTATAGATCTTAACCTTTTAACTATTACATTTGGTGAAAATATTTCTTCCAGTTTATTGTTTTCTTCTCTTTTTAGAATAACGAAATGATTACTCTGGATTTGATTGGAAATGTCCAAAAGATTAATAGAGCATTTAGCAATTTCTGAGTTTACGTGTCCTTACCCAGGCAGAATAATTTTTCCTGTTAGATTAAGAAACATGTTGAGAACTATGCAGAAACTTGTAAAATGTAGAACAGTGGCATAAATGTGCCAAGTGAGATCAACCGACTCGTGTATGAAACATGACATTTCTAACCCTTCTTTTTTTTTTTTTTTTTTTTGAGACGGAGTCTCGCTCTTGTTACCCAGGCTGGAGTGCAATGGCGCGATCTTGGCTCACTGCAACCTCCGCCTCCTGGGTTCAGGCAATTCTCCTGCCTCAGCCTCCTGAGTAGCTGGGATTACAGGCACGCGCCACCACGCCCAGCTAATTTTTTGTATTTTTAGTAGAGATGGGGTTTCACCATGTTGACCAGGATGGTCTCGATCTCTTGACCTCGTGATCCGCCCGCCTCGGCCTCCCAAAGTGCTGGGATTACAGGCTTGAGCCACCGCGCCCGGCCTCTAACCCTTCTTTACATCAGAAATTGGGTAGGGCTCCATGACAAAGTTATTTTTTACTTTCAAATGTTTTCTGCCTTTGTGTCTACTTGCCTTTTCTTAAAAAGAAAACACAATCTTGGAGAAGTTTGATTAGCAATTATTAATTAGAAAGAATTTTGAAAACCACAAAAAGGTCCAAAGTATTGTGTGTCACCTACATTACTTGATTTACATATTTTACCTATTATAAGGTGTACTTGAAAAAAGATATAAAAGTTGCTAAAACACTGACTAAGAAGTCAGGGGTAAGGTAAAATAAGAATAGGAACAAAAAGTATGACGCCAGGGATGAGAGTAATACCCAATAATCATAATCTTGTAATTTTGCTAGGTGTCGGCCACAAATTAGACTGTAAGCCTCCTAACACTCAACATAAATATGGAAATATTATACAAGTCTAACTCTTAACAAGCAAACACACCACAATTTCTTGGCAAAAAATACTATTAATATTATTATTTATTTATTTATTGTATTTTAGGTTTTGGGGTACATGCAAAGAACATGTAAGATTCTTGCATAGGTACACACAATGCAGTGTGATTTGCTGCCTTCCTCCCATTTACCTATATCTGGCATTTCTCCCCATGCTATCTCTCCCCAACTCCCCACCCCCTGCTGTCCACCCCCTATTTCCCCCAACAGACCCTAGTGTGTGATGCTCCCCTCCCTGTGTCCATGTGTTCTCATTGTTCAACACCCGCCTATGAGTGAGAATATGCAGGGTTTGATTTTTTGTTCTTGTGTCAGTTTGCTGAGAATGATGGTTTCCAGGTTCATCCATGTCCCTACAAAGGACATGAACTGGTTTTTGATGGCTGCATAATATTCCATGGTGTATATGTGCCACATTTTCCCTGTCCAGTCTATCATCGATGGGCATTTGGGTTGGTTCCAGGTCTTTGCTATTGTAAA